AAACAGAATTACTTTATAGGTCAGGCATGGTGGTGGCTCACACCTTTAATCCCAGCACTTGGGAGGCAAAGGCAGGTGGATCTCTGAGTTCAAGGCCAGCCTGGTCTACACAGAGAGTTCCAGGACAGCCAGGGCTACACAGAGAAAACCCTGTCTCCAAGAAAGGCATCAAAACAAAACAAAACCAACAAACAAAAACAAAAAAGAAAGACATCTAATCATTGTTGACTGTTTTCCTTCTTTATTTGCCCAGGCTGTCCTCAACTCAGGGTGGGTGAGCCTCTGCCTCTGCCTCCCAAGTACTGGGATCATAAGTGTAGGGTACCATGTTCAGTTTGATTACTTTTTTTTTTTTTTTAATCAAAGTTACTTCTTTTTTCTTGTTTTTTTCAAGACAGGGTTTCTCTGTCTGGGTCTGACTGTCCTGGAACTCTCTCTGTAGACCAGGCTGGCCTCAAACTCACAGAGATCTGCCTGCCCCTGCTTCCTGAGTGCTGGGATTAATGGCATGCGTCACCACACCTGGCTTCAAAGTTACTTATTACTTTAACATTAAATATCCAACAGTATCTAAGACAATGCTCTAAGCCATTCTTGAAGGGTGTGTGTGTGTGTGTGTGTGTGTGTGTGTGTGTGTGTGTGTCAAAGTAAACACAGGTTTTGTGATCACTAGAAATGACGGGACATAGGCCGTTAGCTGAATACCAATACTTTAGACAGCTATATATACTGAACACAGAAACAGACAGACAAGCCATCGTAATTTAGGCTTCAGCCAGCTGCTGACTGCTTAGCGTATGTTAAACTTCCATTCTTGGTTTCACATACCATTCCCGGGCGAGCTTCTTATACGCCTTTTTAATGTCAGTCTGACTGGCTGTGCGGCTGACCCCCAGGACTCTGTATGGGTCAAAATCCAACGCAGACAGGCCTTGCAGGGTCAGAAAGAGAACTATCCAGAACCACCAGGAAACGCTCAGCTTTTTCACCTCCATCTCTCTTCCTTCCCAGAGCTGGAATATTAAAAGGTCACTTTAGCTTCCAGGGGCAGAAACCTGGACAGTCTTGCTTTTTTAGGTGAGGAGATAAAAGATATAAAGGATTAAACAAAAGATTTTTTTTTAAAAAAAAAAATGGGAATGTGTCAGTCTAGTTGACTCTATCCTAACAAAACAAAACAAAACCCAAGCTGGGCAGTGGTGGCTCACACCTTTAGTCCTAGCACTCAGGAGGCAGATACAGGGAGATCTCTGAGTTCAAGACCAGCCTGGTCTACAGAGCAAATTCCAGGACAGCCAGGGCTACACAGAGAACCCTCTCTTGAAAAACAAAACGAAAAAATACTGAAAATGGACGAGCTGAAATAAGTAGCAACCACGAGAATATATTCAGGATGACCAGGAGACTGCATTGCAAATACACAATTCCATCTGTCCTTACAATAAACTTAGAATTATCGGCTTCGGAAATAAAGTCATAAAATCATCATCCAACTTATCATGTACTAAATTAGAGTCTGGGACCATTGTGGCATTTCTGGGCACTAAATAAATACTTAAGTAAAACGGTTTAAAAGTAACTGTGCAGTGATGTTCAGTAAGCCTGCTGTTATTTTTTTCACAATGTTCATTCAAGGGAGAAAATAAGAAGCTGTTCTTTAATTCGGTTAGCAATTTGATTATTGACTATGGAAACTTCAGCTATGAAAAAGTGGTTAATTTTTTTTTTCCCATTTAAAGAAAACTATCAGGAAAGACTTGAATAGGCATGGCTTTAAAATGTTTAAACTCCAACTCTGCTGAAGGGTTGAACTCAATGTGGGTTTTGGAATAATCTTGGCTGGTTGATGAGATGGTGTGGTATTGGGGACACACACAGGGCCATGATCTTTTATACCACACACTGTGTTCATGGATCACATTTATCTTGGCCTCACAGTGTTAAGGTTCAGTGGCTGACACCTTAGGAGGGTGGATTTTGACAGGTGCAAGGCAAACGCTGTTTGGGAGTCTTCACAGACCAGCAGGCCACTGTTTAGAACTGTACACGCACTAAGTAAAATCCACAAGCAAGCCAGTTTCTCCCTTAAGACAACCTGTTCCGAGCTCACCTGGCTTTGGGATTAGATTGGGGGGGCAGGGGGGTGTCTGTCCACCACCACTCTAGGGCCTAAACCTGTGTTCTTGCTGACAGGGTGGGACTGAACACTAGCACCTAGAAGGATATTCATGGGCGGGGGTAGGGGAGAGTGAAGTGGGTAAGGGGGTTTACTAAGCAGAATCCACCAGTCCGGCTGGGTGGGTGCGGTGGGGAAGTTCTTTGGCTGACACTCTCCGGCTCCAGGGGGCCGGCCTCAGTGCAGGGGACGCCCTGGCCAACAGGTAGCCCTCGGCGTCCCCAAAGGCGGGCGGCGGCGGCTCCCCGGAGGCTCTGCAGGACCAAGTTCGGCCTCGGGCGCTCGCCCGGGTCGCGACCTTCCGGGAGGCGGCCCCCTCCCCCGCCGCCCCGGTTCCTGTCGGCTCCCGGGTCCCCCAGGGCCCAGCGCGGGCTGAGGACGCGGAGGACCTGACGGGAGATCACCGAGCCTGTGGGGCCCCGCCGCGTCCGCGCGTCACGCCGGGAAGGAGTTACCGGGAAAGGGCACCGGCCCAACCGGCCGCAGCGTCCGTGCTCCAGTGAATCCGCCGGGGCCGGCGCTTCCAGTCCACACCGGAGCACCTGGGGAGGAGAAAGAGGCGGGGCCCAGGCTCGAGCCGTCACGTGACATTTAAAGACGCCGCGCTCCGAAAGCGCGCCCAGGACAGGTTGGGCTAGGCGAACTTTTTGGCCCCTGCCAGTCACCGTAGGCACGTGGATCTGGCGTGGTTGCTATAGGAACGGAGCGCGCTCTTCTGCTAGGTCCGAAGGCTTGATCTTGACCAGCGAGGCCAGAACGTGCTTTCTAGCGAGGCGGAGTCGCTAAGCATCACGGGATGCCAGGAAGACCTCCCGGAACCGGGGAGGGGTTTCCACTGGTTGCCAGAAGATGGCCTACGTCTAGCAACAGTTGCTAGGACGGGGACGCGGTCGCTGGTCCCAGTTCACTTTAACCCTATTCATAGAATCCTAGAGCGTCAGAGTTTGAGCCGACCTTAGGGATTCTTTCTAGTCCACCTCTCCATGTACTGAGGCTCAGAGAGGGCCAAAGACTTGCCCAAAGCCTAGAATTCAAGACTCAAAATACTGTTTATCATCAAGAATGTTCTAGTCTGGGACTTAAGCAAGCACTGGGAAGGGGGTGTGGTGAATAAGGCTGACATTTTTCGCGTCTGTGATCGAGGTCTCAGGGGATGTATTTTCTATGCTATGTATGCCTCGTGTTGAGATCTTATGTAATCGTTTGCTTTTATCACTAAATCTAGCATGCTGTTTTAATTGTTTGTTTCCGAGGGTCTCCCTGTGTCTCCTTGGCTGGCCTGGAACTCGCCAGGTGAACCAGGCAGGCCTCCAGCTTACAGAGTTCCACCCGCTTCTGCCTCCCGAGTGCTGCCATACCCGGCTGTATCTTTTATTTATTTATTCCATATCGTCTGTCGCCTGGTTCTTCCAGGAATGTAAGCTCCCATAGGTAGGGTCTCTTACCTGTCTTGTTCAGCACTGTAACACCGTCTCAACAGACCTTGGCATGTACAAGCTACCAATGAATATTTTCATATTTGCAAAAAAACTGAAAAAATGACACTAAAGCCTACAACACCCTCACTCGCCCCGCCCGTGTAGGGAATGAAGTGAGTGCTCTACCATTGAGTTCTACTTGCGTTCCAGTGCCTAAGGTTGTGCTGCTCAAGTGACCTATAAGTAACTGAGCTCCTGCACTACCCCCAACAGGCCAACATGGAGTCATTCATGCTAGTTTTTATTTATTTATTTATTTTGGTTGCCGTTGTTGTTTTCCTGTTAGGAATGTGGCAGGGATAAATAACATAAGGAGTGTAAAGTGGCTAGCACAATGCTCATTTACTTTTGATTCGTGAAATGAGTGTTACAAAACCTAGAGAAGAGAGGACCAGATTCCTGGCAGTTTCTCCGAAGGAGGTGGCAGGGAGGGAGGGAAGGAGAGGAGAGGGAGATGGAAGTCTGTGTGGGCTTATTTGGATGACTCACGATAGTGCGAAGCAACACACGGAGTAGTGGACAAGGAGGGAGACGCGAGGTTTCATTAGCCGCAAGGATGGGGCTTGACAAAAAAGCCACAACCAGCAAGGGGCTTGAATGATGTGGGACAGACCTCTAGACATGGCTTCCTTTCCTCTTGCCAGTAAGTGTGACCTTTTCAGTGTCTGTAGAAGTAGGGTCGCTACGTCCGGGGAAAAGGTGCCACAACTGCTAAGAAGAAAGGTGCAAGGAAGCAACAGAACCACACAGCCTAGAACCTAGAGAGTCCTGGGGGCGTGATAGGAACGCGGCGGCGGGCGGGAGGGACGCAAAGTCACGTGGGGGTGGCCTAAGGGGGCGGAGCAATGTTATGTGGGCGGTGTTAGAGGCGGGGCGAGGGAGCAAGAGCGGGACCTGAGAGCTAGGCAAGGTCCACGACGGAACAGCGCCGTAGGGAAAAAGATGTGGGGTGGGGCCTGAGTGCCCGACCAGGGGAGGGACTGAGCAGCAGGATGGGGGCGGGTCCTAGGGGCGGGGGGAAGAACCGTGGAGAGGGAGGGCGGGCCTAGGGGCGGGGCGAAGGGACCTCTTGGACGGGGTGTTGGTCTAGGAGGCTCGGAGGAACGTCGACGTAGGGGCGAGTCTTAGGGGCGGAGCAATATCACGTGGGGCGGGTCTTAGGGTGTTGAGGTGCAGTGCCAGGGCGGGGCTTGAAGGGGCTGGGGGCGTGGCTGGAACGTCTTAGGGCGTGGCGAAGTGCCGGGGCGGGGCAGAGAGCGCGTTAGAGGGAGGGGGGAGAGTGGGAGGTGGAGGTGGAGATGGGAGGGTGGTTGGGGGTGCTGTGAGGTGTCGGGGAGGCGGGGCCGAGTGGGCGCAAGGGACGGGCCTTGGGGCCGGGCGGCGCCTCGTAGATGAGTCTCAGTGACCGCTGGCCCTCAAGTCCTCCTCCGGCCGGGATCCCTTGCTAGAGCGATATGGGGCGGAGCGTGGGGGTAGGGGCGGAGCGTGGGGGCGGGGGCGGGACCCAAGGGCCGGAAGCGGACGGAACCCGGGGTACCGTAATCGGCCCGCCATGGACGAAGCGGACCGGCAGCTCCTGCGGCGATGTCGGATGCACCTAGTGGGCGAGCTGCAGGTCGCCGAGATCTGGGACGCTCTGCTGAGTCGAGAGCTCTTCACTCGGGACATGATCGAGGATATCCAGGTGCGCCCCGCCCCCTTGCGTCCCCAGTTTTTCCCGCGGCGCTGATAGGGACTGGGAGATTCGCTGAAGCTACCCCGGAGGTCCTGCCCTCCTCTCACCGCCTTGCACCGTGCGCCATGGGAAACCGTGGCGTGGGAACTCCATTTTCAAAACCTTCCAGAATTTAGCCCCGTTAATCCTCCAGATTCTTATGGAGTCCGGAAGAATAAATAGAAAAACCCCAAGCACCTCTTTTGCGGAGTGTTGGCTAAAGCGACTGTAAACTGCACCATGTTAATACTCGGATTTCTCTCGGCAAAGTAGGCGGTTATTTTTCCTGCTCAAGTGTAAGAGCCCTAGGCACCCACCTTAGCCTTGCACTGGCGCATTGTACCAGTCACTTACCCTCTTTGAGCCTCAGTTTCCTGGACTGTGAAATGGAACATCCTGTCCTAGGGCGAGTGAGATAACAGTGGTGAAGCACTTCTGTGTGGGACACAACACCAGGACCCAGCATGCCCTGTCTTCTTTGGTCAGGCCTTTATGTGTCAAGTGAATGCTTTATGAAGGATTTTGGGGAAAAAAGGGATTTGATGTAGGTAACAGAAGAATAAAACATTTGATCCTAAAAAAACAAATAGACAAAACAAAACAAAAAACCAAAAAAACACTTGCCGGGCGGTGGTGGTGCATGCCTTTAATCCCAGCACTCGGGAGGCAGAGGCAGGCGGATGTCTATGAGTTCAAGGCCAGCCTGGGCTACAGAGTAGTTCCAGGCCAGCCAAGGCTACACAGAGACAAAGAAACCCAGTCTCAGAAGCGCAAAACAAAACAAAAACAAAAATGGAAAGAAAGACACTTTAGCATTTTTGTTCCAGTTGACCCCTCAACAAGGCCTGAAAAGGGAATATTTCTTCCTGAGAGCCTATGCGTGGCAGGCCCTTAGGGACTGCCTAGAAGGCTGTCTCCAGCATCTGATAATATGTATTATCATCTAGGAACCTGGCCTGGTCCAGTGAAGGCGAAATAGAAGAATGTACCAATTAATAATAAAATCAGCGGGATGGTGGCACAGGCCTTTAGTCCCAGCTCTCAGGAGGCAGAGGCAGGCAGATCTCAGAATTCTAGGGCAGTTAGGGTGGTAACTCCAGTTCCAGGGGATCTGACACCCCCTTCTGGCTTCCTCAGGGACCCAGCACACAATACACACAGACACACACACACACACACACACACACACACACACACACACACACACATATTTAAAAACAAAAGCAAAGCAAGAGCAGGAGAGTCAGAAGTTCAAGGTCATCCTTAGCTATGTAGGAAGTTGAAAGCCAGTCTTGGCTATTTGAGAACGTTTCCCTTCCCCAGAACAAAAATGAAAGCCCTGCCCCCATACAAAGTAAAACAACCCCTTTCCTCCAAAAAAGAGAGGCTGGAAATCTTGATTTCTCTATTCAATTCCCTTACTTACTTACATGTTAGCAACAAATTTAGAAAAGTTAAGTAACTCATGTAAACCATTGGCCACCACTTTGCTACTTTTAGTCGGGCTGATTAGCACTTAGCACAGTGCTGGACTCACAGTAGGCGTCTTTGAAAGCACTGCCGTGGATAGACAAGCAAAGGCCACAGAGGGTCGGACATGCACTCAGCACGCTGTTGTATTAGTTTCTGCCCACCTGCCCCAGGCTTATGCTAGATGAGAAGTGGGAGGGAGACAGGGTGAGAGTCAACAAATGTCCCTGGGTAATGAGTGTCTGGTTTTTCTCTCCAAACAGCGGGCAGGCTCTGGGTCTCGGCGGGATCAGGCCAGGCAGCTGGTCACAGATCTTGAGACCCGAGGGAGGCAGGCCCTCCCTCTCTTCATCTCCTGCTTAGAGGACACAGGCCAAGACACCCTGGCTTCACTCTTGCGAACCAGTCGGCAAGCAGCCAAGCAGATTCCAGAGGCAGTTAAACCCCTAGACCACCTGGTACCTGTGGTCCTGGGGCCCATGGGGCTCAAGCCAAAGGAGCAGAGAGTAGTGAAGCCGGACCCATCGCCGCCTGCCCTGGGAAACCTCACCCCAGTAGTGCTGGGGCCGGAAGAGCTCTGGCCTGCTCGGCTCAGGCCAGAGGTTCTCAGACCAGAAACGCCCAGGCCAGTGGACAGTGGTTCTGGCAGAACTCATGATGTCTGTGAGTATTGAGAGAATGTGTTGTTGGGTAGGTGAAATTATTTGGGGGTGGGGTGGGGTGACTGGGTACAAATTGGTGGGTCTAGATTCAGAATTTAATTCTAGTATTTGTCTTAGTGAATGCTCATAGGAGATGTGTGGAATATTCCAATCATTCTATAGAAGATGTCATTTTGACAGCCCATCTGAAAAGCAAGAGTTTGTTTTGGATGTTCCTTGTTTCTCTGAGTGTTTCCAGAAGGAGCTATTGCTCAGGGTTTGCCTTTGGGTTCTGGTGGATGATGGAAAGTACCCACGCCTGACAGAAGGTGTGGGGAAGCTGTTTGTTAGGACTCTGCCCTGCACATATATATATTACATGATGTATACTCCTGCCTCCCTGCAGCCCTGCCTGGTAGATACCATTAGATTCAGCCCGGTAAGCCCAGGGCCAGGAAGGTGAAATAATTTGTCCAGAGATGACAACAGCACGCAGTGAAAAGCATGCACCCCAGCTGGAAGGTTTTTACCTGAGTGCGTGTGCACACAGGTTGCCACATCCCACACCGTCACATTACAGGACATTTTAGTATCCTAGGAGACCTTGTCTCTTCAGTCAGTACCCACTCCTGCAACTGAGGTCATTGCTGTTGTGGGTTCGTCGACGTCTGTCATTTTTGCTTATCTTTGTACATCAGCAAGAATGAAATCCTTCCTTAGGAGCTCTGTAGAGTTGGCACCTTTCACCCATCGTATCTGCATTCCAGTCCTGGTGTTTCGCAGACCTGCAGTCCACTCTTGTTCAGTGCTAGGTAGCAGTAGTTCCCATTCTGAATTACCTGAAGTTATTTAC